TCCTTTATATCTTGATGTTATTTGCCAATCCGTTTTCCATTTATTAACTGCTTTATTTTTCATAACTTTTATTATATCTTTATTTAATACTTGGTTATATTCCATTCCCTTTAAGCAAGCGTATTTGGCTAATTCATCAGCTTTCTCGTTTCCTGAAATTCCGGAGTGACCTTTTACCCATCCTATTCTTACATCCTTTCCATTTTCTTTAATTTTCTCCAAATCTTGCAAGATATCAAAATAATTTTTTCTTCTAAATTTAGATCTCTAAAAACACTTGTAATTTATTGATACAGCTCATGCTGTCCGTAATTATAATTGTTTTATTATAATTCTGTTCTTTAGCTTTTCTTATGGCCTCCTTAATTGCAAATAACTCCGCTGTATAGACAGAAACACACCCTGGTAACTTGTAACATTCACTTGTTTGATTGGTTTCTTTATATATAGCAAAACCTACATTGTCCATATCCTTCGATCCATCCGTAAATATAATTTCTGCATCTGGATTATTATTAACAGATTTTAATAAATCGATATTTATAATATTATCAAATATACAACTGTCAAAATATATTTTATTATAATAAGGATGAATGCTGAATGAATACATACTTTCTTGATATTTAATTACTTCTCTAAAACTCTGAATAATAATAGGTATTTTTTTATTCAGCCAATAAATATTACGTTCGCATTCATTATTTAAATCACTAATTCTGTCATATATTTCAGATGAATTAAAATTAATTTTTTTCAGCATATATTTGTCACTCAACCATTCATATCTGACTTTTAGTGGCATAACACCAGTTTCTAATAACAGTACATTTGTTGGTGTCGATCTCATCATACCTGCGCAAAATCTTAAACATTTGTATTGAATTTTTTCAAGCTCATTTACCATATTTGAATGTCCAAAAATTATGCTACCATATTCCAGTATTGATCTAATTATGGTTTTATATAAATTAATAGATGTGATAGGGTGTGAACCCCACCAAGTACTGTTTATCAGTCTCATTAAACTGGTCTTTTTTTCAATTCTTTTTTTAATATAATTCATATGATATTTAAAAGTCATTTTTTGATCAAAATATATACCTAGGAATTTATTGTTGCAATGAATTTTAATTGTATTATATGGACTTGAAATACAAGCTGGGAACTTTTTGTTGGAATGCCTCGTAAATATTCCTATGGAGCTTTTATCATCTGATAGTTCCAGACCTTTCTCATTCAACCAAATATGCAGCAATTCCATATTCATAGACATCATATCGATGGCCTCTTTCAGAATTATCTTTTTCAATATAGATCAATAAGTCATCTGCATATTGTAGAATTTTCGTACCTTCCAACCATATACCTTCTATATCCCGTACATATAGAGCATATAATAAGGGACTAAGGATAGCTCCTTGAGGTAGGCCCTGTCGAAGAACTCTTCCAATCCTTGCATTTTCATTTATTTTAACTTCGATTTCTCTATTAAAGGTAGAATATACCATAGCTTTGATCAATTTTTCTGGAAAGCCAGCATGTACAAGACTTTCTGCTAATTTTCCCGGCACCATTATCGTATGCACCCCTTATATCGCAAAACAGTGCAACGACATACGTGTTTCTTGAAAAGGCTAGATGTATGTCTGTGGAAAATATACTTAGACTATCTTGCGTGCTTAATCCTTTTCTAAAGCCAAATTGGCTTTTGGGCAATAACTGATTGTTTTCAATCCACCACTCGACTCTTCTTTTATCATCCTATCTTTTATTTTAGCAATACATGACGCCAAAGTAATTGGTCTATATGCATTGCTATTATCAGAATTATTGCTCTTCTTTTTAATTAAAATAACTCTATATTTATTCCAATCAGGAATTTCATTCGGTGACAGCCAATACTTATTAATAATTTTAAGTAGAATTTCTTTTCCGGACTGTGGAAGGTTTTTTAACATAGAATAATGATGTTGTCTAATCCTGGAGCAGTATCTTTGATTTTGCTCCAAGATTTTTTCTAATTCCCATAATGAAAATGGTCTAATTAATGACTTTTCTACCGAACCTGTTACTCTATTTCCTTTAAGATAATTACAAATATCATCACCCACTCCAAAGGGCGCAATATTATCAACTACTTCTTCCACTACTTTATCATTAATCAATTCTGAATTCTTCTCATTCTGTGAAATATAATTGTTCATTGATTTAACCATTTTAAAATAATTTTAGATGGGGTATTAGGATTTAGATTGTTGACAATTTTACACCAACTTTCTCTTTCTTTATTTTTAGTTCTTTCCGAACTTTAGCTTTAATTCTATTACACTGAAGGAAATTTTCTAAACTCGAATTTCTTCTAAAGTTCTTTTCTTGCTTTCTTTCTTCTTTTCTTCTTCTACCAGTTTAAGACATTCTTCCCCCACCACACTGGTTTCCTCACTTGAGATGTTGTTAATATTTTATTTATTGGTATACCTTTTTCCGCATTTTGATTTATATATTTGTGAATTTTTCATAAATGTTACTATCTAAATTATTGCCCAATGATAAAATTTCATGTTCAATAATTATTTTATATTTTTTGCCAATCAGCTTTACCACAATTCCATTTTCTATTGGGAATCAATATCCTGTTACTTCTCACTATATCCAAATAAAAATAAATAGGATAATGATCGAGCCTAAGTTTTCCTCTATTACTTTCCATGTTATTAATGAAATATTTCAGAAGAGCACACTGTAACATCAACTACAGTTTTAGTGTTTTAAAACACAAGTGTTGGGGAACCATTATTAATACAAATAAATTACACTCTTCGATTGATTCCATTAAATTCATTCCGTAATTATCATTATAGTAACACCCCCCAGGAATGGTGATGCGCATTTACATCTCCAGCTAGAAATGAACGGTCTAGGAATATTCTCAAATAAATAATTCCATTGTTGTTTCGTAACGTGTGTCCCTGGCGATATATATATTGATACCAAATATACTTTTTTATCTCCTAATATTATTGATATTGCACATAATTGGACTTTGTTTATATCTATTTCTCCAATATCTATATTTACATTCTGATAGTTAATCTTTCGTTAATAATTATAGCCGCTCCACCTTTCCCGTCATATCTGTCAGTTCTGATTATATTGTAATTTTTTAAATAGTACCGTCGGTTCCATTTGAACCAGGATTCTGATAAAAATATAACATCAGTTTTATTTTGATATAAAAAGATTTCCAAACTTTCTTTGTTAGAATTAACGATCTAATGTTCCACTGTAAAAAATGCATAATGAAATTTATAGATTTTGTTTTAATTTGTATTTCACTGTTTAAACGTTTATCAATTTTCTTTTACTTCTAATAATTTCAACTTTTGTTATTATTATCAAAACCAACTTTATTTTGTTGTTCACTAATATTTCTAACTTCCACACTATTATACTTCTCGTAAATTATATCCATATCCTTTTTAAATTTTACCACAACTCCTCTAGA